GCCTCTGTCACTTCTGTCAGACGCCGTCGTAGGCGGATGCACGCTTCTGTAACTTCTGTCAGACGCCGTCGTAGGCGGCAGCACGCCTCTATTACTGCTGTCAGACGCCGTTGTAGGTGGCTGTAAGACACTGTTGCTTCTTTCAGACGCCGTCGTAGTTGACGGACGCCTCCGTAACTTCTGTCAGACGCCGTCGTTGGTGGCTGTACGCTTCTGTATCTTCTGTCAGACGCCGTCGTAGGCGGCTGTACGCCTCTGTAACTTCTGTCAGACGCCGTCGTAGGCGGCTGCACGCCTCTATTACTGCTGTCAGACGCCGTTGTAGGTGGCTGTAAGACACTGTTGCTTCTTTCAGACGCCGTCGTAGGCGGCTGTACGCCTCTGTCACTTCTGTCAGACGCCGTCGTAGGTGGCTGTATGCTTCTGTAACTTCCTTCAGACGCCGTCGTAGGCGGATGCACGCCTCTGTAACTTCTGTCAGACGCCGTCTTAGGCGGCTGCAAGCTTCTATTACTGCTGTCAGACGCCGTCGTAGGTGGCTGTAAGACACTGTTGCTTCTTTTAGACGCTGTTGTATGTGGCTGTAAGACACTGTTGCTTCTGTCAGACGCCGTCGTAGGCGACTGTACGCCTCTGTCCCTTCTGTCAGACACCGTCGTAGGCGGATTCACGCTTCTGTAACTTCTGTCAGACGCCGTCGTATGTGGCTGTAAGACACTGTTGCTTCTTTCAGAGTACGCCTCTGTCACTTCTGTCAGACGCCGTGGTAGGCGGATGCACGCCTCTGTAACTTCTGTTCGAAGCCGTCGTAGAGGGCTGCACGCCTCTATTACTTCTGTCAGACGCCGTCTTAGGCGGCAGCACGCCTCTATTACTGCTGTCAGACGCCGTTGTAGGTGGCTGTAAGACACTGTTGCTTCTTTCAGAGTACGCCTCTGTCACTTCTGTCAGACGCCGTCGTAGGCGGATGCACGCCTCTGTAACTTCTGTCCGAAGCCGTCGTAGAGGGCTGCACGCCTCTATTACTTCTGTCAGACGCCGTTGTAGGCGGCTGTAAGACACTGTTGCTTTTTTCAGACGCCGTCGTAGGCGGCTGTAAGACACTGTTGCTTCTTTCAGAGTACGCCTCTGTCACTTCTGTCAGATGCCGTCGTAGGCGGATGCACGCCTCTGTAACTTCTGTTCGAAGCCGTCGTAGAGGGCTGCACGCCTCTATTACTTCTGTCAGACGCCGTCGTAGGCGGAGGCACGCCTCTGTAACTTCTGTCCGAAGCCGTCGTAGTGGGCTGCACGCCTCTATTACTTCTGTCAGACGCCGTCTTAGGCGGCAGCACGCCTCTATTACTGCTGTCAGACGCCGTCGTAGGCGGCTGTATGCCTCTGTCACTTCTGTCAGCCGCCTTCGTAGGCGGATGCACGCCTCTGTAACTTCTGTTCGAAGCCGTCGTAGAGGGCTGCACGCCTCTATTACTTCTGTCAGACGCCGTCGTAGGCGGCTGTACGCCTCTGTCACTTCTGTCAGACGCCGTCGTAGGTGGCTGCACGCCTCTATTACTGCTGTCAGACGCCGTCGTAGGCGGCTGTAAGACACTGTTGCTTTTTTCAGACGCCGTCGTAGGAGACTGTATGCCTCTGTCACTTCTGTCAGACGCCGTCGTGGGCGGATGCACGCTTCTGTAACTTCTGTCAGACGCCGTCGCTGGTGGCTGTACGCTTCTGTATCTTCTGTAAGACGCCGTCGTAGGCGGCAGCACGCCTCTATTCCTGCTGTCAGACGCCGTCGTAGGCGGATGCACGCTTCTGTAACTTCTGTCAGACCCCGTCGTAGGCGGCAGCACGCCTCTATTACTGCTGTCAGACGCCGTTGTAGGTGGTTGTAGACACTGTTGCTTTTCTCAGACGCCGTCGTAGGCGACTGTACGCCTCTGTCACTTCTGTCAGATGCCGTCGTAGGCGGATGCACGCCTCTGTAACTTCTGTCCGAAGCCGTCGTAGGCGGCTGCACGCCTCTATTACTTCTGTCAGACGCCGTCGTATGTGGCTGTAAGACACTGTTGCTTCTTTCAGACGCCGTTGTAGGTGGCTGTAAGACGCTGTTGCTTCTTTCAGACGCCGTCGTAGGCGACTGTACGCCTCTGTCACTTCTGTCAGACGCCGTCGTAGGTGGCTGTATGCTTCTGTAACTTCCTTCAGACGCCGTCGTAGGCGGATGCACGCCTCTGTAACTTCCTTCAGACGCCGTCTTAGGCGGCTGCAAGCCTCTATTACTGCTGTCAGACGCCGTCGTAGGTGGCTGTAAGACACTGTTGCTTCTTTCAGACGCTGTTGTATGTGACTGTTAGACACTATTGCTTCTGTCAGACGCCGTCTAAGGTGGTTTGTAAGACACTTTTGCTTCTTTCTGACGCCGTCGTAGGTGGCTGTAAGACACTGTTGCTTCTTTTAGACGCCGTCGTAGGTGGCTGTAAGACACTATTGCCTCTGTCAGACGCCGTCGTAGGTGGCTGTAAGACACTGTTGCTTCTGTCAGACGCCGTCGTAGGCGACTGTACGCCTCTTTCACTTCTGTCAGACGCCGTCGTAGGCGGATGCACGCTTCTGTAACTTCTGTCAGACGCCGTCGTATGTGGCTGTAAGACACTGTTGCTTCTTTCAGACGCCATCGTAGGTGGCTGTAAGACACTATTGCTTCTGTCAGACGCCGTCTAAGGTGGTTTGTAAGACACTATTGCTTCTGTCAGACGCCGTCGTAGGTGGCTGTAAGACACTGTTGCTTCTGTCAGACGCCGTCGTAGGCGACTGTACGCCTCTTTCACTTCTGTCAGACGCCGTCGTAGGCGGATGCACGCTTCTGTAACTTCTGTCAGACGCCGTCGTATGTGGCTGTAAGACACTGTTGCTTCTTTCAGACGCCATCGTAGGTGGCTGTAAGACACTATTGCTTCTGTCAGACGCCGTCTAAGGTGGTTTGTAAGACACTATTGCTTCTGTCAGACGCCGTCGTAGGTGGCTGTAAGACACTGTTGCTTCTTTCAGACGCCGTCGTAGGTGGCTGTAAGACACTGTTGCTTCTTTCAGACGCCGTCGTAGGTGGCTGTACGCCTCTGCAACCTTTGCAAGACGTCGTCGTAGGTTGATGCATGCCTCTGTACCTTCGTTTTCTTTATTTTATTCAAGATGACTATCTAGACAATAACGAACCATCCTTCGTGTTGATTATGAAGATTTATATTGATAACAGAGTCCCTTAAGTATCGTTTGGAAAGTTTCGAACTACTTTTCCATTGATCATTTTACAAATATTAACAAATAATATATCAATAGGTATGACATTGTAAATAAGAACTACATCAAAATATATTGTTGAGAAGCTGTGAAAAGCTTAACTGTATACCACTTTATTGCTGATCTGTTTTGTATTGTTATGAATTCGGCTTAATATCAAAGGCTATCAAAGAAAAAGCCTTCCTTTTATATATTTGAAATTGCGTTCATTATTGCTAAATGTTCACCTTCCTTCCAACAAATCAACATTAACGACTTTAATTATGTATCGCTAAGTTGAGTGTTGTTTTGTATTGTATCATTTAGCGTTAATATTGTAGAAAATGTTTCCTTTTATTTTCTAAATCAGGATAAACTTAAAAATACATAAATATGACGGCTTTGTATGACTCACTCCAGATAACGAAAGAATAATCAAGTAATAACTTAAAGAATGTTTAGCAAACTGCTATTGAAATCCGGTAAAAAGGGCGATATTAACTATTGCTATGTTAGACCGTAGTTATTGCACATCTAGAGAAGACCTAGTCTAAGTGTCCTCCTATGTCACATATCAATGGAACACATCTGTACATAAAATACAAAGGAACTAAATAGCAACGATAATTTGGGGCAATTATCACTCTACCTTAAAATATAGATTTACATAATGTACCATGCCACAGGTGTGTCAGCTTTCGTATGTTTTCGTTAGGTTTTATGAATATCATATCAAATCAGAAAACAGAAAGGGAGATAATAAGTGCACTAAAAGATCGTTATTTTAACGATAATGTGCAAAGCTGATGAATCTGAATCAACTTCGCAATTGTGAACATGATTATTATTTGCTTTTAATCACTTTTGCTTTCTGAAAAGCTTTATTAACTTCTAATTTATTGCCCTATTAAAACACTGCTGTATAAAATTGATTATTTGGCAATTGTCCAATACAATTGATTAGTTTTGGTCTGGTAGAAATCGAGCATGCATAATACAGCTAGATAATTTGGTTTAGTAAGTGTTCCCCGTATCACACACGGTATCCATCCTTGATGTCTACCATGAAATTTCAGGGAATTATCGAAGTCAGTTAATAATGGCTTTGACATGATCACTATTAATAATAGTCATTAAAATACGAACTGGTGAAGCAGATGTAATGGTGTTGAACTTGTGAGCGCGTTCCACAGTTTTATTCCATTACTTACCAGTAAGGAATTGTTTTATTTTTTATTCATTGACTGTTACACATCTCTTACAAAAAAAATTGATGCAGAAAGCTAATTAAAGTTATCATTGCACAATATCGTCTATTTAAGATTCATCAGTGGTATTTAAGGTCAAAAGACAAAAACGTAATTTTTAAGTGTTTAAAACCTTGGTAGAAATACAATGAGAGACATATTGTGTATACAACAGTATTAAAATCATAATGATCATACGAATACAAATTAAATAATATCGATAGAAAAAAAAGTTGGAAAATGAACTGTTTCTCGCATAGGCATCGTAGTATACATATTATATATAGATGTAGAAAATTAGCAATAGCAATGCTTGTAAATATAACCGTAATCGAGTAATGATGTAAAAGTTAAAGTTAAAATTAATAGACAAATATATATGTATATAAAATGTATTTTATTTTTCTCTGGGCATATTAAATATATATATATATATATATATATATATATCTCGTTTTGTATGTTTTGCAAAAAAAATACGGAAGCGCGTTCGAATCTCTTGTACTAGGAAATCATCTCAGAAAGTGCCAAAAATGAGTTTTGAATTTAAAATGATGTGAATCATACTGAAATGAAAACAAAAGACGAAATTGACAGCAGAATAAAGAGAGAACACACTGTATGATTCAACAACTCCATGTTCCGTCGTGATTGTTAAAAAAGACAAAAAAGCCTACTTCGTTAGAACAATACCACATACCAGCAAACAATCTTTAAATTGAACACATGAGGTTACAATACTACGAAATCCTATATGCTGGTTTCAATGTGCTAACGACCATCAGGATGATTGCACTTTATGATAAGATGATGTATTACTGTGTGTGTCCATTATTGAACTATATACCAGGTTGAATGTAACTTGTATGTTTATATTTATGTTATTTTTGGGGTGATTATAGCTGAATAGTTCTCTGAAATGTTTATAACATATCGAACGGGTGTATCATGGTAAAGAAACGTATCAAGTCGCAAAAGAAAAACTAATCACAGAATTTGTCATAGTCATCATTTTCACATAAAAACGTCATAATTGTGCTTCCTTTTCGATTTGAAATGCATTTCAATAGTCTAGAAAATCATTAAAATAAACAAAACTAATGTGGAATTTGTTAAACTATTTCCTCCCTACCTTTGATTTATACCGTGGCTGTGTTACCACCCAGGTTTGTGATTTCAGAATGACTATTTTAACATATTGCTTTATCATCACTCAATAATTGGCACTTTATATATATAATATGCTATTATTTACACAAGTACTTTGATTGACATTTACTGTAGAAAATGGGTCATTAAGTGTTATCAGCAATCCCAGAGTGTTTCCAGTGTTACTGGTCACAGCGTTGGAAGATTGGTAGGTAATTTTCACACAAACAAGGTTTAATGAGCGTGGTTAACCTCCGTCTACCGTCATTACCTACGTGCTGGTTCACACCTACACAGATGCTTAATTTCTCACTTTCATCTCTATCTATAACTGTCACATTTTGATTCTAGCTGAATAATTCTAAAATAATTCGGAAAATGAAGTCACACTTATTATATTTGATTTGTGGGTTTCATTTCTATTTGGTAATTACAAGACTCTTATGGTGTTCGTGTGATTTCCATATGTATACTTCTAAGACATGAGTTTATAGTTCATTAACTTAACATCTTTTACACATCCTAGGTTTCCTTCCCTTTGATATTAGGAAGCTGTCCACAGCCAACAATTCAATTTTGACACATGATGCAATATTTGTGTCATACATAAGAAAAGTTCATCCAACCAATGCAGAATAAGTAACTTATATAAAGTTCCTCAAGAAGAATATTTCTGGTAGTTAGGAAACTAAAAACACAAAAACAAAACATCAAAACCAAACCAAATCGTTATCAATAACCATCAATACGCAAAACACTGCTCGGTAAGGGTCTTCTTATATGCTTATATGCTTATACGATCCAGGTCAGCAAAAGTCAAGGACATGTGTCATGCCTTGATTTGACAGCAGACTTTTTACCAAAATCACTTTTAATGCAGGATAGGCCCTTACCCGTCTGGAGCATATCTTAAAACCAAACGTTTGTTAGCAGTAATATGAATTTTATATATCATTGGAACTACCTTTGTCTGGCTAAGCGGATGGTTTACTATTCAAATTATGTACTTATGCAGAAACTAGGGTATTTGATGTTTAGTTCACTTGAAACCAGCAATGTATACTAAGAATAGAGTTACCACACTAACGTATTAGTTTAAGTTGTTTGGTTTTATAAATAATGTAAAAATGAATGTATACCTCATTGTGCCTCTCATTATTAACATTTGTGATTGACGTATAATTTGTTTCAAAACATTATTTCCATCAACATTTGATCTACCTGTATAATATATATAAGATGTTGATCTACCTGTATAATATATATTAGATGTTGATCTACCTGTATAATATATATATGATATGTTGATCTACCTGTATAATATTTATAAGATGTTGATCTACCTTTATAATATATATAAGATGTTGATCTATCTGTATAATATATATAAGATGTTGATCTACCTGTATAATATATATAAGATGTTGATCTACCTGTATAATATTTATAAGATGTTTATCTACCTTTATAATATATATAAGATGTTGATCTACCTGTATAATATATATAAGATGTTGGATACAAACGTTTCGTAGTTATAATTTGGATTGCTATTGAACAATACCGGACATTTGTTGTTAATAGAACTGTTCATAATAGTTGTAATTTAAATGATAAATTAAATTAAAGACCAATCATTAATTTATATATTAATTCTCACATGCCAGTTTCTCCTTTTGGACATGTGATCAAAACAAATCTGCTGAAACACTAACATACACCAAGGGAGTTACTAATTTGTGTATTGTTCCCAAACTTCCTTTTTATTATAACTTCCCATTAGTGTTATGTTTTTGAAGTCGTTTCAATCATTCAAATGTCACACACCTTGTGAGAAATTGTTTTGATGTCAAGTAACGAAGACTTATGTAAATGTATTAACACGGGAAACAAACGTTTAAAATGTATTTGTACTTAGAGGTGATTGATAATTGTGTTCCATCACTAACATGTTACTGTAATTTATGTTGAGGAACGTTATTTATTCAGGTGTAAATAATGAA